CTGCAGGTAAGTGGTCCCTGGCCTCCGCCCATCATCTCTACCACTACCTAGCTATGGCGCCCAGCGCCGAAGACTACAGCTACCTACTGCGCCCAACGTTGAAGACTACTGGCTAACGCTACTCTACTACAACGCAGCGCTCCCTCCAGAGTGCTGCTCCCAAATCCTGAAGACTAAAACGGTCAAACTGCCTTCCCGTGAAGTGCCTGGGAAGTCCCTAAGTACTTCCTCGGCCTGCCTCCTGACTGCAGCAGGGCGAGCAGGCCGAGGAGGCAGCTCTTGCCAATGCCGAAGTGTGCCAGGGGCTGGCGTGCAGCAGCCTGCTTGAGGCAGGCGTGGGAACAGTCTAAATATAGGCTGTTCCCAAAACCCTGGTTCAGTGCCTGAGTTTCAGGGCCGGTCGTTCTGATGAACGACCGAAAATGGCCCTTGGGTTCAGGCTAAAAATGCTATTACCATTTTTAGTCTGAACCGTCGCAGGGGCTGTAGGCCCTGAAAGTCAGGCTTTCGGCCTGAACCAAAATGGGGCCTGTAAGCCCTGAATTTCAGGCTTTCGGCCTGAAATCCAGGGTTTTGGCCTGAATCCAGTCGGGCCTGCAAAATGGTCGTCGGGCCTGCAAAATGGCCCGTGTGTGCACGCGCCGCATGTAACACCCCCCCCTCCTTATGAAGTCAAGCCGGGGCGAGGGCAAAGTCGTCGATCTGAAGGTGGAACCTGGACGCGGGCGCGGCGTGGAGCCGAAGAAATCGGCTTGCCTTGCATCTTGCGTTCGTAGCGTGCGAGAACGTCTGGAGTTGTCGCTTGCAGTTCTGCACGGGTCAACCAACGATCAGCTCGATGAGTGGAGTAAGCAAAATGCACCAGATACTCAGTTGGCTTGTTGTCGTAGCGTCGCTGGGAGATGATGTCGCCGACCTCCTGAAAACCATCCATAGGAGGTGGATCTTGCACACGTCTCCCGGGAAAATCGTCATGTTCCGCAGGCGTGTACAGAGCCAATTTGGAACAATGAAAGACTGGGTAGACAGGCAAGTGGCTAGGCACCTGAATCATGAAGGAAGGCCCTTCAGGTGCATCCCCAGCGGGCTCAATGATCGGCCAAGGCCCCATCCATTTCGGAAGGAGCTTGCGAGAGATGTCCTGTTCAAGGATGAATTCCGCTGCTGAAACCCAGACAAGGTTTCCGGCGCGGAAAGGACAAGGAAGACGCTGGCGATTTGCCTGCTGGCTCATGCGCTGCTGCGTCTTCGCCATCTGATCGCGTGCCTTGACAAGAAGCTCTTGCATCCGACGCAAGAAGAGAAAATGGTCGTCGCTCTCGGCCGTGCGTGGAGTGATAGTGTCCAACGGTGATGTGACCGGCGAGCCGTGCTCGAACTCGAAGGGCGATATCCCAATAGCCGGGTGGATGGAAGAGTTGTAAGCCAACTCAACGTCCGGCAGTCGCTCAACCCAGTCTTTCTGGTCGGGGCGGATGAGAAGAAGAACCTGTGCGGTCTGATGCGCCCTCTCCGTCTGGCCATCGGTCTGAGGGTGGCGAGCTGAACTGGGCTTGAGAGATGAGCCGCATCGCTTGATGAGCGCCAACCAAAAATCGGACATGAACCGAGTGTCGCGGTCGCAGACGATCTCCTTGGGGTAACCCTTGGTGCGAATCCAACCGGCGTACAGAACCTCGGCCAACTCCGGTGCCTTGGCATGATAACGACAAGGCAAAAACATGGCGAACTTGGTGAGTCGGTCGACCACCGTGAGAATCCCATCCACTCCGGTCTTGTGCTTGGGGAACGGGCCGGTGATGTCCATGGCAATCGCTTCCCTTTGCCTCAACGGGACTGGTAATGGTCGTAACTCGCCGTATGGACGATGGTTGCGGGATTTGCAGCGTCGGCAAACCTCGCATGACTCGCAATAGCGTGTGACGTCGCCGAGAAGGCCGGGCCACCAAAATTGCTGGCAAAGTCGGCCAATCGTGCGATTGACTCCAAAATGTCCAGTGGCAGGAGCGTCGTGGAACTCGCCAAGAAGCCGTGTACGCAAGTGAGGATCACTCGGTACGCAAAGAAGGTCCTTCCCCCGCGTGTGGACAAGCAAGTACCCCTCTTGGATCCAATAGTGAGAAGGAGCCGGATTAGGAGAGGAGCAATTCGCGTACTTGTCGCGAAAATCGGGGTCGGCTTGGTAGCCGCGGATGAAGTTGTTCCGCAGGTCGTCGTCAATCTCGAAGGTCGAGTAGACTGCGGTACAATGATCCTGACGCCGTGAGAGAGCATCCGCAAAACGGTTCGACTTCCCGGGAATGTGATCGGGAAAGAAGTTGAACTGGTCGATGAAAGTCATCCATCGATCGATGGTGCTGTTGACGGTGTCTTGGGTCTTGTAGAAGACCAACGGATTGTTGTCCGTTACCCAGTGAAATTGGCTTCGACCAAGGAGGAAGTGCCGCCACCGCTTGAGCGCGTAGACGAAGGCGAGGAGCTCCTTCTTGCGTGCATCGTCAATGGAATGCACGAGGGGCACTTTCTTGCTGAAGTACTCGACCGGGTGCCAGTCCACRCCATCATGTTGCTCGAGGACTGCACCAATGCCATAGCCTGACGCATCCGTAGTGACACGCATAGGCGTGAGCGGGTCGTAGATTCGCAAGACCTCTGCAGACAATAGCGCGACTTTGAGAGCGAAGAATGATCCTCGCGCCTCCTCTCTGAAGTCAAACGACCTATCCTCGCACTGAAGCTTGTTCAAGTGGGCCGCGATCTTGGAGTAGCCTTTGATGAAGCGCTGATAGTAGCCGGTAAGACCGAGGAACGAGCGGACATCCGTGACGTTCGGAGGCTCCGGCCACTCTTGGACGGCCTGAATCTTGTCCGATAGCGGACTGATGCCCTCCGGTGTGACAAAATGGCCCAAGTATTCCAGCTCTTGCCGGACAAATTGGCACTTGTCGCGGTTGGCCTTGTACTTGGCGCGGCGGAGCGTCTCCAACACTCGTCGAAGATGTCCAAGATGATCCTCCAATGTACGGCTGTAGACGAGAATATCGTCTAAGTAGACCAGCACGAACCGGTCCAACATTGCACGAAACTCATTGGTCATCGCCGCCTGGAATGTCGTCGGGGTGTTGGTGAGGCCAAAAGGCATGACCACCCACTCAAAATGCCCGTACCGCGTCTTGAATGCGGTTTTGTAGCGATCATTCGGCTGAATCGAGATTTGATGATATCCTGATTTCAAATCCAACTTGGAAAAACACTTCGCGCCGCCCAGCCGTTCGAGAAGATCGTCGATGCGAGGGAGAGGCCCCGCATTCTTGACGGTTTGCGCGTTGAGCTTGCGGTAGTCGATACACAATCGTAGATCCTTGTTCTTCTTCCTGACGAAGAGAACTGGTGCTCCATATGGGGAGCTACTCGGGCGGATCCAGCCCTTGGCCAACAAATCATCGAGTTGTGCACGGAGTACCTCAAGCTCCTCCTCGCTCATCCGATAGATGCAACCTTTCGGCGGCACGGCACCGGCCTCAAGAATGATCTCGTGAGAGATCAGTCGACCCGGCACCACACCGGTAGGTGACTCGAAGATGTCGGCGAACTCGTCCAGCAACCGTACCACACGGGGGTCCGAAGACAAGTCCGTGGGTGAAGAGTCGGCTACCTCGACTGTCCGTAGGAAACATATGCCGATCTCCTCGGGCTGCTCGTAAGCACAAGTCGCCCGGAATGATTTAGCCGTCACCACTTGGCACCGGATCGAAGAGTGCGATAGAGGAATCGTACACGCCACTTCCGCGCCGAAGGCATCGCGAACGCTAAGAGTCCGCCGATGGAAGTTGACCGTGTGATCCGCACTTGCAAGCCAAGGCATTCCCAGAATGATGTCGAAGTCCGTGTCGAGAATATCGAATGTCACCGGTTCGCATGCATGAGGTGCGAAGTAGACCGGTACAGCCTAGATGTAACGGTCGAGTAGTTGCTGCGTCTTTCCATCCGCCAACTTGATCGCCGTCGGGTTTGCCTTTCTCCGAACTTGTGCGCCAAGGCCAGCTCTTTGCATAAAAGACTGGCTCATGAAGTTGCGAGTCGCTCCGCTATCCAGCAAAGCGCTGCAGGACGCTTGCCCAACCTGGATGCGGACATACATGAGCGGTGCATTGTTGTTATCGTACCGCTGCGTGCGAAACTCACGGGCCACCTTGGTAACGTACGCCAGGATGTCCCCCACCGCGACTTCGTCATCCGTCGGCGAAGTTGGTGGTGCATAGAACGAAAGGTAAGTGTGGAGATGAGCGCTAAGTGCTGCGCATTGCGGTCCCTTCAAACAGCCTGTGGTCGGGAGAGGAAGCCATGCAAAGTTCTCAGACGTGAGCGGGTCCAAAACCTCTATCTTGAACTCGCGCGCCGAATCCTGTGACGAACCGCTTGAAGACGATATGTCGCTGTTGCCGGACGGAGAAGAAACCGCACACACTCCTTGTCCTTGAGCTTGAGTACCCAGTGTTGGAACGAGCCGGGCAGCATAGTCCTCAAAAGAAAATAGAAGCGGAGGATTGTCGACTTCCGCGTGCGCCTCGGAATGAAGGCTGGTCACTCGCGAAGAAACCAGTTCCGAAGACGTCAAGAGTGTCGTCGCGTCACTCTCGGCGGTGCTCAGTTTCCCTGTCTGCCCTTGCCTTTCAATGGGCAAACCTGCGTCTGATGAAGATCGTTGTTGCACCAAAGGCAATAGTGGAATCTCTCGCGCGCCTTGTATGCGGACTCGGAGATGCCATACGGGGTCCATGGGCCTGTCTGAGCTGCTGCACCGGGCCCTGCTCGGGCCTGACGCAGATGAACGAAGGTTCTTGGCCTCCTTGTTCGTGACTATGATCTGCGCATCCTTGTCAAATAATTCGGCCGTTGTCGTCAAGGTGTCCTCGTATGCGCCAGGGCATTGCTCAATGCCGGACATGACCTTGAGATGAAGTAGTGGCGGATGGCCTTGAAGCCCATCTGGATGTCTGGGACTGACGTCAAGCGTTGGTACTCGGCGATCCAGTCCGTACTCAGCAGCGTGCCTTGCTCGAAGACCATGAGCTTGTCCATGGCTTTGATCTCTGGCGGCTCAACCTGGAACCGCTTGTGCCACGCCGCCTTCAGATCATCCTAGGTGATCTTGGTGTGCAAGTCGTTAGCTACCACTCCGTACTTGGACAACAGGTTGTCCAACCAAGCCTGACACGCGCCCCCTGAGCGAGAGCACAAGTATGCGTGGTGCTTGTGTTCCTTGACGTTGTGGATCTGCAGCGTGAGCTCGAACTTGCGAAACCATGGAATTGGATCTGTCTTGATTGAGTCGTGGAAGATCTCCTGCCCATCGAACTTAGGAGCTGTCTCGCGCGGCTCCGGACTCGAGGTGGTGGCGGTAGCGCAGATCCACTGCTGCAGTTGTTGCGTCGCGGTCTGCTGTAACTGTGCGCCGTCGTGGAGGGAGCCGACGTGCATCTCCAATGCGGTGAGGCGGTCGGCAGTGTTGGAAGAGCCTGCGTCGGCGGCGGCGACTGGTCGCTGCTCCACCCGCTGAAGGCGGTCTTGGAGATGAGCTACCAAGTTGTCGAGACCAAGGATCTCCGCCTGCTGTGTAATGCAGGTTGCCAGGAGATCCGTGAGATGCGAGAGGAGAGCGCTATCTTGTTTGCGCTATCCTCCAACTAGCTATTCTCGGCCTCGCTTCGCCATTCTGCTGCCATGGTAAGTAATGCCCGCTCTCTGGTGAATATCTTCTCACGACGCTGTGTCCTTTCTTCATCGGCAGCCCTTGCTGCTGCCTCGTCGTGCTGGCGCTGTTGTTGTACGGCCAGCAGACGTGCCTGCTTGGCATCCTCTGCCCTTTTCTTGACTGCTGCGGCAGCGTCATCTGCCCGCTTCTTTGTCTCGGTACTCCAGGCTAACATGCGGGCCTGATAGGCCTCGTCTGTTTCCCCGGCCTTCTGGTTCATGACTGCTGTCTGTGAACGCAACAGCATAGACCAGACCGGTGCCTGTTGATGTGGTATCCCTTGCTGCTGACGTGGCAATGCTGACGTGTCCTGCTGACGTAGCCTGCTGACGTGGTCTGCTGACGTGGTCTGCTGACGTGGCCTGCTGACGTGGCAACTTACCAATGCCGTCGCAAGGGGTACCCGGAGACAACCAGAAACGGCAAGGCGAGAGATGGCAACAACATAGGTGGGGAGGGGTGGGTGGGATAATCGCCCAACTCACACTTTAGATAAGGAGCCACTAATCAAAATAGATAAGTTTGAACTTTGCAAAAAAAATTTCGAGAAAATAAAAAAATCCCGATTTTTGCAAGTTCGGTAGGTCTCCCAACCTCCCTTGAAGTTCGAAATGATCACTGAAAGCAAAAGTTTTCGACTTTGAACTGTAAC